GATCTCCAGCTCTGCTTAGAAAAAAAATCCACTTTCATGAACGGAAAGAAACAATTGGACATATTAAGGGTTGCTTTTCTTGCTGTTATTCAGTCATTTTAACAGCAGTTGGTGCAGGAACAGAATAGTGCTCACTCTTGCCAGCTCAATGTTTTTCAAGTATTACCACACAAATAAATAATACCTCCAATACATAAGCTTCAAATTATTCTTACTCTAATAAAAAGCACACTGAAATCTGAGTATCTCTCACTTCCCAAAATAGAGACATAAAAGAACAAACTTGCCTCTTAAATCACATTTTAAAAATTTATTATTCTAGTGTCTCACCCAAAATTAAATAATACATTTAGAATTACATTATATTACTGGTCAGTATTTTCCAGTCTATGCTCATATTACAGAATGTATTATTGTGATTAATGTAGAGCTTTTGCATACACCAAGTTATAAATATGTAATTTTCAAGGTCTACTATGTAATGCTAGTATCTATACATCAAAGATGACAAGTATTGCACAAATTATTAAGCTTAGGCACAGGGCTATTTGGTGGCAATTCTTTGATAAATAATTTGTTTTTCTTGTGGTTATTATTTTTTACATAGTTCATGAACTAAACAGAAGTAAAAGAACCCTTTTTAAGAAAGAAAGTGCATTAAAAAGCCAGAGCTACTTTCACTGCATGTACCAAAGAATAACTGAGGCACATTTGGCCTGGTTTCAAGGAGTTTTCTGTGGTATCTGCAATCCAGTCAAGAGAGACTATAGTCATAGGCTATCATAATAGAAGACTATACCTTCCAAATGCTTTATGCTTATTTGTAATGCTATCAAATACACAAACTTACTAGTATATTTAGCTAAATTATTTTATGTAACTGAATTTACGACGTGTGTGAAATGATACATTATGAGAATAAATCAGATTATGTGTATTTGAATGTTTTCAGCATCTCTTGCATTATGTTATGATTCTGTGTTCTTGATGAATGTTTGAATTACACTTATAATTCTAGATGCTTTCATACAACATCTGTTGATTCAGATATGTCAAACCATATTTAATTTATTTGTAAACTAGAAAACATTTTTTTAAAATTAGAGTGCTAACCACAAAACTTAATTGTACCATACAATATTCATGTTGGAAAATAAAAACCTTTGGAATTATTCAAATTGCCAAAAACAAATAGAAAAAACAATTTATCCTTATGATTAGAATCCACAGAACATGTTCATTTGTAAAAACCACCCATGCGAGGAATTTAATCTTCATATAATTCTGGTTTAAATATTCTCAGTGTAGATTGTAAAAGCTAGGTTTATTTGTGCCATTTGGATTGAGTTTAAACTATGCCCAACACTTCCTAACATCAAAGGTATCTGCCAAATAGGAAAAAATAAAAGTACTACACTACACTTGATCTTGACCAAAATGCCAGGAAGAGATAAGACACTTTTCTAAGGATTTTGATATACTAATATATAATATTTCAAAATATGTAATAGTGTTTTAGCATCTACAATTGCACTGTTATAACAAAGTTGCATATAACAGTTTCTCTGACAACCACATAATTTCTTTGGAATAATATATTTTATAGTATTTCTAAAAGAGTATTCTATGCTCCTTTCCTTGCTTTCTTTTTTTTTTTTTTTTAATGTTCAGTTGGGTGCTCATGAACATTGCCATTCAACTATAAAACATTCACAAAGCACACCTTTGAATGTTCTACCACAATGCAGGCAGAATTATTTTGCATTTTTCCATTTTTACAATTATAATCCAAATGGGACTTTCAAAAATCTAGCAAGGGTATTAGATTTAGAGTGGCCTATGCAGAATTATCTTCAGTTGTGATTTTGAATGTATGGTAGCACCAGTTATGTTTGTCAAAAATCAAGCTGGATACCCTGACCTTTCCCTTAATGTGAAATATGGTTTGGATATTAAAGATCTTAAAAGCTTTTTGCTATTTAGATGCTACATACAGCCTATAGGCTTTCTTTTTCAAGTTTTATGTTTTCGCAAGTTTTGCATGTCTATGGCCTTCCTTAAATACTTTGTAATTCTCTGCTTTGACTCCCGTTCCCATACCTTAGTATTTATGAATGCCAGAAAAAAACCCACATCCCCCTTCAGCTTAACCCTTGCACATAAATTTGCCATACCTGTATGGTCCATATCTGGGTCAGTCAGAGAGCAGGATTTGTGCCTCCTGACTTCAGCTGTTTCCAGTGCAGGTCTGTGTTTGTGTTAGTCACCCTCAGAATTATTAGAGCAAAAAATAGGTGCCTCTTAAATATTACTGTGAGCCCCATGTTGTCCTCAACATGTGAAATTTTCATCCCATTCTGGGAGTGCAGCTATCCATGCTGCCACTCAAGCTTCACCTACAGCCAACAGAAAAAAAACAGAAACTTCTGGGGAATGGCTTGTATGATCCATTAGATGTGCACTGCTTCCTAAAAGTGCCCACTTTCTTCTGCTGACAGCAAAGGAACCTGTGATACCTATCTCAGCATGTGTGTAACTGGACCAGGGGCACATTTGATCATGCCATGTTTTTATTTCTTCTCATTGTGCTTCTGGAAAAGCCAATTATATTATTTTTTATGAAACTCCAAAAGCTACTTATATAGGAGAGTAGAGGAGAAAGTTCTTGATAGCCAAGAGCCAGACTCTTATTTTTGGTTTCTAGTTTTAGTCAGTGGAGAGAAACAACACTAAAACAAAAGTTCTCTGTAAGTGAACAATTCAACACATCCTAAAGCAGACATCTAAAATAAGTCAGATGAATTTTGCTCTAGAAATACCTGTCTCTGGCATTGTCTGTAAAGAATCCTTTAAACCAGCAAGGTCAGAGATGGGCATGAACATCTCTGTAAAAATAATTCTGTCCAGACTCTATATTGTGTTGGGACAATGACTGTCTCATCCTGTTTATTAATAGCTCCTTAGGTCACATGTAATACTGTCTATGCTGTTTTATATATATAATAATTTTGCATTGACTGAAAGTTGTTGTAAGGTCTGTTAGCAAAGACAAATATTTAAGTGTATCATATGGAAATTCTTTACCTTACAGGATATCAAACAATGAAGTTTTCATTCATACTGATAATCCTGGAGGAGTGTTGAGATACAGAACAAGGTCAATGCAGATGATGTTAAATCGGATGGTGATGTGAAAAGTACACAGACAAAAGAAATAAGTGTAAAGACATACTCAAAGGGCAGGACAGGGATAGGAGATAAACAAAGCACACTTTGGCACTACAGGTATGGGAGAAAATGTCAAGAAATTCAGCCACAAAAGAGAAACTTAGAAATCAGTAACACAGAAAGAAATGTGTAAAAGCAATAATTGAGAAGCAATGTGGGACTTCTCAGAATAGACAGGCAAGAAAAATGAGTTAATGGAACCAAGATGAAGTCTGAAAGCAGTCAGGCAAATTCCTCTTCTTTAGCTTTGAGACTGCATCCAAAACATTAAACTTCAAACATAATGTAAAAAGTATTTTGGTGATCATGTTAGTGGCAAAAACCAATCGATGATTGAAAAAATTTATAATATCACTGAAGCTAAATGGAGGAGAGAAGGGAAGGTGGGAAGGTAGATGAACATATAGACAGCTTGGCACACTTTTATCTGCTAGATACAGATGTCAGTAGCTCCCCACAATGTTAAAACCAAGCAAAGAGAGGAATTGAGTTAAAGAGTGGTATGAAAAAATGTGGGATGGAATGTGAGAAATGCAGTCCAGGGAGTTCTGTTGGCAGTGCTGTTTTAGGGACTTAGGAAAAACAACCTAGACACATGGTGTTAGTAAAAAAATATAATAAAACCTGAATATATGGACTATATTAATATATTTACATCAGTACATGGACTGATGTAAATGTCCTAGTGGTCTAAATTGTTGCTATTCTTTTAAAGATGCTCAATTAACATTTTTTTGTAAACTGAGTTTGCAGTGATGGCTCTATAACTTTAGGGATGTCTCCTGTGGAGGGGTTTCACATACTCCCGGGCATGAGACAGAAATGAAACCAATTTTTTCTCTATTTTTGAGAGGAATGTATTTGTACAAAAAAGATGGCTTCCTTTCCAAAAAGAACTTTTGCTTTTTTAATTCTTCCTTCTCCATCCCCTTGTTTTCTTGTTTTGCTTTTTTTTTAAATGCAGTGCAGGACAGCAGGAGCAGATCATTTCAAGGGAGAATCTGGGGGCTCTGCCAGCTAAGTAGAGGGTCCTACCTCCTCAGGTTCATGTATTATCCTGCATCTCACCCACAGATGGTTTGGATGGAAGTCCTGGTAATGCCACACTGTTGGTCCCATGGGCTGGAGGTCTCTAGTGTTAGAGGTGCTAAAGGAAGAACAGCCTGGCACTGATCACCATTTCTGCCCAGACTAGGGTTTGAGCATTTAACATGAACACAAGGCCTGGAAGTGTCAGGAGTGCTCTTGATTCCACCAGGGCAGATCAGCCTCTAGCACAGGAACAGTTCTGTATGTGGTAACCTCTACTTCTTGTTGTAGCTCATCTTTCAGACTTCAACACAGAATATGCCATAACTTAGTGGTTACCACTCCAAAATAGTGTGCCAAGTCAATGTCTTTCCTCCTGCTAAACTTCATTGTCCAGCATGAGCAAAAATGTAAGTAGAAGTTATTTATGAGCAACCTAGACTGAAATCCCAAGAAATGGGTCTGGGTGGAACCAGGTAGGAAAAGTAAGGAGCTAAATTAGATAGCCCAGTGTGCCTTTTAGGTTGATTCTGGAGGACACTGAACCATTGATGACTAGAAGGTAAAGCTACCACTTCTAAGTCCTCCATTAACTAATTTACAGGAAAGTCAATGATACTGCTTAAAATTTTGCCATGCTTGAACAATACTTGGAGTTAATTTTTCTATTATTAAGGAGTCACAATTTTTGTTCTTGACAATTTTCAATCCCACAAATGGCAACTTCCTTTATTACTTGTAGAGTTTACTTGGTAATAAAATAATAAAATACACTTTGGTTAAGGCTTGTACTTTCCATCAGAGACAGTTTTTCTAAGATGCTGGTGGTGTAGCTTTTGAAGTTGTCTCTGGGCACAGGAGAGAAGTCATTTTACTGTCTGTTTCTGGATGTGGTTCATTATTGCACAAGTTTCCAACGTCCGCCCTCTGATCCAGCTGGATAACGGTTACCTTGAAATGGCAGGTGGGCTCTCCATCAGTGGAGGAAGGAGGTTGGCAGTGGAAAAGCTGACGAAAGCATTTGTAAAACTAAAACAACAAAAAACCAAACAATTCTAGATATAGCTGCATGGCAGGTTACAATTCAGAGCATCTTGGTAACATCTTCAGTGAAAGGAAACTTGGTTTATTAAGATTGTACTTTTTTTTCAAATAGGGATTAAATAATTTCTCACCATTAATATGTGTTTAGACTAAGATTCCTTCAAATTTGAGAACTTCAGAATTTATATACTTAGCTTTTCTAACACTATAGATTCTGTAGAGTGTAAAGCTGTACAACAATTATAAAATATTTTCAAAACCTTTAATTTGTGATAAAAGATTTAATCACAAAAGTAATTAGTTTTAAGTTACTTCAGACACCAGGCAGGGAAAAGTCATTTTGATAATCTAATGATACACAGCAGGGGGAACATAATATTCTTTTCATTAGCAAGCCATTGAAATCCCTGCATTCCCAAACTGTAAAGTAAACTTCAGAAAATGGCTTTGCTTAATTAAGAAACCAAACTAATTTTTATGTTAATTCATTTCACTTCTGAGATCTACCCAAAATAACTTTGATGATGCCAAAGCTGTTGTGCAAAAAAAAAAACCCAAACAACGGTTACATCAGTTCTCCTCTGTTAGTGCCAAATGAGCAGAGTTATACAGCTACCTCCCCTGAGAGCTGACAGTCCTGTTCCACAGATAAGGATACCAGTAGTGCTACAAGTGAAATCTTAAAAAAAATAAATGGCATCCAAAACTTACTTCTTGTCACTTTCCTTTTGCATAGCTTTGTGAAACAGAAAAGGCTTCCAGGTGCTGTGATTGATGTGAAAGTATTGTAGTTTAGGCAATGTTGTTGATCATTATCTGGTATTCGTCCATCTGAAAATGTGCAGCTTCAACAGCAATATTTCTCTTGTTTCAAGGCCATAAAGACCACAATTGATGGTGCTGATGATAGTGTGCCATTGGCATGTGGCAGTAAAAAATGGGTTGGTATTTTGTAGATTTCTCCTTGCTGAGCAAGGAAGTGGTGATGGGCTTTTCCTTATGACAGCACTGCTTTAAGCAGGAATTAGTCTCTGATGTCTTCCCACGAGACTTCATGGAATTGTCTGAAGCTGTGGGCTTCTGTGCCACCACTACATGGCTGATGTTTCTTTATATGCCCTTCTGCATGTGTTTGGCTAAGTCTTGCTGCTTAGAGAGAAGCAAGTGGATGGGAAAAGTGGAATTGGTTCAATTTCAGACTAAGAGAGACCAATATTGCAATAAAGTGGAGATGTTTCACAGGTTATTGTGGGGAACATTTTGTGGACAGTCCACAGAATAAATGGGGGGAGGTGGTAAAGAGCAGTCTTCTCACTCAGGAGGCTGATGGTGATATGCAAATTCTTTGCAGGCTTTTCACTCTTTCTTTATGACTGTTATCCTATCCTGTTGACTCTACAGTGATCACAATCTTTATGTAGCAGGGACAAATGAAAGCTGCTCAAATAAAAGGGACGATTGCTTCACTTAATGATTTTACAGCATACTTAAGGTGTGTGACAGCAAATAAAGGAAGGAAATAAAAAATAGATTGAATGACTGCAGGGAAATTTCTGTGAAAAAAGTGAAAGCTGGTGTTCACTTTTTATTGCAGGTATCCTCATCATGATGTCCATGTGTAATGAAGTGCACGTGTACGAGTACATCCCTTCAGTGCGACAGACCGACCTGTGTCACTACCATGAACTCTACTATGATGCAGCTTGCACCTTGGGGGCCTATCATCCACTGCTCTATGAGAAGCTCCTGGTGCAGAGGATGAACAAAGGTTTGCAGGATGATCTGTATCGGAAGGGGAAAGTCATTTTGCCAGGGTTCAAAGCTGTCAAGTGCCCCAAGCGAAATAATTTCCCACACTTGTAGAAGTAAGTCTTTCAGAAACAATGTGCAATAAGGTACTACTGTTGTACTATAAACAAGAAGAGAATACTTGAAAAATATATCTTAGACCAACCTAGTCTTGAGTCTATAAATTGTAATTAAGTAGCAGGCATGAGAAATACTTCTTTTCTGAGCCTGAGTATTTATTATTGCTTGGCAAATAGTTACAGGAAAAAAGCAAAGGCTTAGCTCATGAAGGTGCAAAGGACATACTTAGGCAGAAATATAATGTATCGTTGTTGGTGTGACTGTCAGACTTTGTTGGTGGTCTCATACCACATATGCTAGACTGTAAGTTTTTGTTTTTGTTTTTTTTTTTTAATGAATTTATTTAATTTTCAAACCTAGCATTGTGAAACAGCCTCTATTGTTCATGTATGTACAGATTGGCCGGTTGAACAATGCAGCATTTCCCTTGGCTCCATGGGATTTTTACACTCTCCCAGAATGAAGCAATTGCTACCATTCACTAGAGCAGACTTAATGCCTGTTCCTACACAGGCTCAGTTCCAGGCCTCCAGCTGAGCAGGAGCTTAGGGTAGCCATGAAGTGTGTGCAGTTGGAGATGGCTGTACACAGCTGAACCAGTTAAACTACTGGATGTGTTTTTGGATGCCAGTCTCCCATGCTGACACTGACTGAAGAGGGAAGGGAAAGACTATTCCTTTAGAGAAAAAATAATACATTTGTAACCCAAATAGGAAGAAAAACTCTCCCTGAAAGGACTATCAGGAAGGTGTGAGATGGAAATGGTACCTTCCCCCAATCTGCACAGATACAAAAGATCCAGAGAAAGCCAAGGGAAGCTGTGCAGCATTCACCCATTACACTGAAAAGCAAGAATAGAGAGGCTCACCACTTGTCAACAAAGATAGCATTCAGGAATACAGACATTATTTTTAGGTGTTTCATTGGTATCTGAATCAAAGTCACTTGTTCACAAGTTCTTGCTGTTCAGAAAGAAGTTTTTTGACAAAAGATGATGATATCAGCATTTTTTACTTAATGCTTGAAAGACTATGACCCAGAAAAGCTGTAATGCCTGCAAAAAAACCTGACAGCAGATTGCATATGGAGATGGTTTGGTATTTTCATTCATAACACGCAAGGACAATATTCTTTAAGGCAATTCTAAAAGTTGATGGTCTGGAGTAGTTTTCTCAGCTTTTTGGTTTGGTTTGTTTTTTTTTTCCCACCTGACTGTACATTTTCTTTTAGAGTAAGTTCAGCAGGAATATGTGTACACAAAAGCACAGCTATATCCTACTTATGTCCATCCAGTAAAAAAGCTGACAGCTCAAAGGGGCATTGAAAAGAATAGCTGACTGGCTGTGGTGGAAAGTGGTTTTTGTGTTTTGACTTAAGCAAAAGGCCTTTTCACCTTCAGTAATGTAATGTAAGGATGTCACAAAATCTTTTTACTCTTGCTCAGCTCTTTGGGAAGCAGTATTGGAATGATCTTTTGGAAGGTTTATTTTCCTTCCTCAAAATGAAGAATAAATGTCTTACATAGGACTTAGCCTTATTTTTGGGCTTTTTGATGATCTTAAGATCCTTCTTGTTGACAGAAATCATGTGTAGATGATCTAATAACTGTACTTCTGTGTTGTATGGATAGTTATGTCCATAAGGCATTTTGGTACATATCAAAATTAATAATTTTTACTCATATTAGGTTTGGACTCTGGATATAGTTCATACCAATTTCTTTTTAATATCATGTGTGGTGGCAACTTTTATTCCTGAAGTTAATAACATTCTTAATTAAATGCATAGAGGATAGATAGCCTACTCAGAACTAATCTATTTTTCCATATGTTTGGTACCCTATTTGGAAAGCATAAGCAGTTCTGAACAGTGCAATCAAATATGTCTCTCTCTGCTGTATCCTGGGTTAGCTATGACATAACTGTAAAGGAAGGGAACTTAGCTTTCTAAGACAAGTGAATATGCTACTTTTCAATAAGCAGTAACTTCTAGAGTTCCAAAAAGAAAAAAAAAATATGTACTCTGACTGGCCTGCAACCACTAACTTTTAACTTCAGTTTTCACAAAGAAGAAAAGTAATAACTGCATTGCTCAACCACCCACAGCAGGATTATATAGTATTATTTGTTCTCTCAATAATTTTTCAGAATAATCAACACAGGTGTTGCTTATACAGAACAAGGCAAATTATAACGTTTCATGTAACAAGTGCTAAGTATGCCTACTTAGTACATAATTTACATATGCAGAACCAGGTCTGAGTATTTATTACTGCTTTGCAAAGAGTTACAGAAAAAAAACTCTATATTTTTAATTTACTGGACTACATACTCAAGCCCTTGCAGCCAATTTTTTTTTTCTTTGCCATATCTTTCTTAATATGGTAGTCAGACCTCCTTCCATAAGTGCAAATTTGTAGCACTATCACCTCAGAAGGTACTGCAGAGCTGTGCTGCAAACATTTGCTCACAGAGAAGGAAGACCAACCTGTGATGCCACCTTTAAAAAATGAGCCTGGAATGGCTTTCTAACACTGGTTTCCACTGTGATGTTTTACTGGTCTGCCTGCTCAAACACATTGTGGTTATTTAAAAAGCATTTTCTCTCCTAACTTGTCTTGTCCTCCTTCAGTTTCTGGCACACGTGCAAGTGTGCTTGATCTGCTAATTGAGGGCTCCCCTCCACTTGCTGCAAGGGGGGAAGGGGCAGAAATAAAGGGGAAACATAGAGGACCTGCAGAGGTGCTTCTCTCACCACTTCTTACTCACTGTGGCATTGGCATGCTGGCTTTTATAAGAGCCCTCCAAGTGTGTTTGAATTACTGGGCATTTCCCCATCCCTTGTGAGGGAAGAGAAATGTTTGCAAAGAAGAACATTAAGTAAATTTAAAATATTCAATGTGTGATAACACTGAAACATAGCTCTTCTAAAAATAATGGGTGAGAGTGCTGGTTTTAGATTCATGTTAAATGCAGCAGTGTGAAAGGAAGTGTATTTTTTTACCAAGATCATGGGACTTTTTGAGGAAAAGATACAGGTGTGGCTTCATAGCTCTCCCAGTGTGGCTGTCACACACTAAGAGAGTGGGACAGCACCTAGACAAAGCCTGGTGCATA